GAACTGACAGAGAATGCTGTGGTTTCTGAACAGATCGTCACAGGGACAACTAAACCAAAGTCTCGGTGGAAAAGATTTCGCCACTTTCTGGGGTTGAGGAAACCACAGAAGTGGAAGAAATAAACCCAGCTTCTCCCAACAGCAGATATTTACATTTGAATAACTGGAATAACAAGTAATCTGCTGTTAAAACTTTCGTCATGTAAACTATGGGTGGAGTCACACTGGACAAATTCTAATGGACAACCAACCTCTGGTGTGACGTCTCTTGGAGCGAAGCCTGTACCTCCTGTGGTTAGGATGAGGTTAAGTTCCTTTTCATCGCACCAATCTACCAGAGTCTCCTGTTGGCACACACACACATATGATTAATTATTATGAAACTCATCACTACTGCACGTACTGTAGCTAGATACAGAAGAAAAATAGACAGATTGATCAAATACATACTTTGATTTCATCAATCTCATCTGGCACTATCTTGTAGGCTGCAATCATGCCCCCCAACCTGAGAAATTAAGAATCCGTGCACGTAGTATTAACTAGGTGGTCATAATGTTGTGGCAGATCACTGTACTGTATATGAAACACACTCCTTTTATCCGTTTATGAGTTGGGCAATCAGTGGTGGTTCTACATTGAATTACTCCCGGGCAAGACCCCCCTCTGAATTTAGCAGGGTCAATGCTGCAAATGTGTTTGATTATACTGTACTGGCAAATGTGAGAAAACATGCTTAGCTTTTGGTCCATGACTGTTTCTCACAGTGTAACACCATTACTTTAATTAAGGATTTCTTTAAGATAGATCATACAATATTTCACATCACAAATGACATCTGAGATGAAACTGGGTATTTCCTGCCTGAACATCAATTCCCAATAAAGCCATGTCCATGAAATTTACTCATGTGCAATTCCTCCTGACCTCAATCACATCAGCATGGCTTACTACATGTGAATTTAAAATAATGTGGCATAGTATTAGTGTAAAGGAAAAAGCTAGGCCCATTTCCACTGGGGATGGGATAGGTGGTGAGTATATCAGTCATCCAATCATCCATCCTATACCGCTTATTCCTGAATAGGGTTGCAGAGGGCTGGAACCAATCCCAGCTGACATTGGGTGAGAGCTGGGGTACACCCTGGACAGGTTGCCAGTCCATCACAGAGCTGACATGTAGACTAACAACCACACACAGTCCTACTGGCAATTTAGAGTTGCCACTCAACCTAAGCTGCATGTTTTTAGACTGTGGGAGGAAACCAGAGTACCCCGAGAGAACATGCAAACTCCACATAGCAATGCACCGGGTGGTTTCGAACCTGGAACCTTCTTGCTGTGAGGTGACACCGCTGACCACTGCAACTGTACCGCCGCCCCCTTGCCCAATCTTTTAATTTTGAAAAGCTAAATAGTCCAAGATTCAAGCAGAATTCAAGAAAGAATTTTACTTTGAAAGCTACGAACCGGATATTTTAATCTGCTTCCGGCTTGTGCATCGTAGTTGGCCAAGATGGCTTCTCAGCAGCAGCAACAGCAGCAGCCTGGTCTAATATCTCAACCCGGATTACAGACCCCTACTTCAATACAGCAGCAGCAGCACCAGCAGCAACTGAGCCAACAGCAAGACTTTGATCCGGTTCATAGGTTTAAGATGCTTATTCCACAGCTGAAGGAGAGTCTGCAGGTAACTAACTGTCCTGTATCGAGCCCGAAACCGAAAATGCCCAAAACATCTTAAGATGGTTTGCGAACGACTTCATAGACCAAATAATATCGTTTCATTAAGGAATTAAGGCTCTTAAAGATCTTTGTATTGCCGCTTTATTTGTTTAATTGTTGATACATGTGTTTATTTATTTCCAGAATTTGATGAAGATAGCATCCCTGAATTTGGCTCATAATACGGCAATCGACAACGGCATGTAAGTAGCCTGACTAGAGAAACGTTTCAGGAGGTGTTGCACAGTCCTATGATTTAAAAGCCGTTGAGGTCAGACTTGTGCTAAAACATTACGGTAATGGTTCTCAAAATAGATGTCACAGTTAGGTTTCTGATTTTCCAGTGTGTAACGTTATGTTTGTTCTGGTTTAGTAAGAGCAACGACAGCCCTGTTCAACGCTTTGACAAAAGCCTAGAGGAGTTTTATGCCCTCTGCGATCAGCTGGAGCTGTGTTTGGTAAGACTCAAACTATTGGCGGGTAGCTTTCATTGGTCAGAGGCGTCCACTGACATCCACAGCTGATACTGCATAAAGGACATTTACCTTATTTAGTCTTTGATTTTTATATTAATTCGGCTATATTATTTATTTTCTGTAGACGATTTGAACGGTACCCCGTACCTTAAAAACTAAACAGCGTTACCTGTACATTTACGAGGTAGGAGGAGTCTCTAAAGAACTGCCAAACCTAACTTAAGAGTATTTAACCCATTTTTTAACCCCATGTGCTTGTGAGATATTGCAGAACTATTAAATGAGGACAGATCTACAAAGTGTTTCTGAAAATGAGTGAAGCAGTTGTCTTACACAGCATCATAATTGTTTTTGATCAAGACTTCCTGTCCTGTAGCCTAAAAATGTTGTGTACCTTCGCAGCTTGTCCTTAAGAGACCTAAACATAAGACTCACATGGCCCTCTATGTGCAGATCACATGTGCCTACACAGACGGGCCACATAATCTCACATTTTGTCTCCTTTGTGCAGCGATTGGCATATGAGTGCCTCTCCCAGAGCATTGATAGCGCCAAACATTCACCCAATCTGGTCCCGACGGCCACCAAGCCAGACACAGTCCAGACAGAGTCCATGTCCTATGCCCAGTACCTCGGCATGATCAAGTCTCAGATCGCCTGTGCCAAAGATATCCACAATGCTTTGCTGGAGTGTTCTAAGAAGATCGCAGGGAAGGGACAGCCTCAGGGACTCATGTAAACTTGGACTGACTATTCCACCTCTTTCTGCACATGCTGACTTATTTGAGATGATTACAGCTGGGTCTGGCCCCTCTTCACATCTTAGTTTTGTTCTGCATTGGTCAAGATGCTGTTTTATTTCTCAGAATCACATGTATCTAATTAACATGTATATTGTGTAAATATTAGTGATTAAAAGTCATGTTCTGATATGACCAGCAGGTGGTGGCAGAGTTGTAACTGCCAACTTTTGTAGCTTTGTATTAAATATTAAAACCTTTCCACTGACACTTGTGTTTCGTTACTCAAGATGTGCAAAGGCACCTAACATCTCTAACGGATGAGTATGATATGTTCAGCATCATTCAGAAAAACAAGAAAACAATTAGTCATAGGTGTAGTGACAAAATACAAGATTTTAAAAGACCATCTGCAGCTGAATGTCTCACTGATTTGTCCAATTGTGCAGGTGAATTACCACACAGTTTCAAGAGAGCATTTTATCTGGTTTGTCTGCAAGAAACTTGTATAAGATTGGAACGCTGGAAGAAAAGAGAGCTCAAAAATTCCAAAGAACAGAATAAAGTGTCTTTTCAGTAAAAGTGGTCATATGCATTAGGCAGTAGCTGAGCTGTCCTTTCACAATCCTATTAAAGAATGATGATGATGATATAGTGGGTATAGTGTTTGACACTGAGCTGATTGTCATCATCCTAAATATTCTGAGTGTGTCTCATCGTCTGTGTTACATAAACATGAGAGAGAAAACCTAACGCTAATCACACTGGTCCTCGTGCTCTGTGTCCCTAGACTGAATGAAGATGCAGCTCACATTTGGTTTCTTGTGGAGCTATATATTAGTCAGAGACGCTGTTTTGTTGCTTCGTATTGTATGTTGAAGCTAAAGGATTAATGAAGTCTAACAAGAATGTGAGAGGTGACCCTGGTGGGCTTGCAGCTGGGTAACATCTTAGACCAATCTCAGCTACTGACAAGTGCTTAGATCCAAAAATACCACCCTGGGTCACTACAAAACCAGTGAGAGGTTCAGCATAATGCAGGCTCGCGTTCTCATAAACCTTTTGTAGGTCTACACCAGCGTACAAGCTGAGAAAGTCGCCTTTTTAACTTCTGTTCTTCCTTGTCAGTGAACATTAACAGGTATGGGACTGATAAACAAACGGATACATCTTTATGTATTCAAATATTTATTGTCAGGCAGTAATCTGTATTGACAGCTTTTTTTAAGCTTGAAAAAAATATACAAGCTGAAATTACTGAGAATAATGCAGGTATGAGGAGATTGCGTCATAGAGCAGAATTCATCAGGCAAAAAACAAGAAACCAAAGTAACAATATAAAAAGGGAGAAGTATTTTCTTTTTACAACAATTACAGCAGATAAAATACACATATCTAGAACAGGTACTAGACAATATAATTACAAAATGAAATTTAGACATTGTCTAAGTGCATTAGTGGATTTCAAACTGTCAGTGAATCACTACTTTGTGTCTTGTTGCATCATCAAAATGATGAAAAACAAAAAACACCTTACCTTGAGCTAACTATTCATCTGATGCAAAGTTATATTAATATTTTCTTTGACTGTTAATGTATAATGATAGTGCCATTTTACTTATATGGTAATGTATCACACTGTATGAGTTTATGTTAATCTGTTTATATATCACTATGTCCACAGAAACACTGACACTTTCAGTTTTACCGGTTGATGTGATAAATAAGGACCCTCTGTACAATTATTATATAAGAGCATGTTACAAATCACATATATTTCACTTTCTTGTTGACCATTCTCCAGAGCATAGCTTAGCACGTTAGATACCTGTCAACCTTCAACTGCCTTCATTTTTGGCTAAAACCACTGTGACATGAAAATGAACTTGCAGAGACCTTAAAAGATGCCATTCCCGATTTTGTTTTAGTGCCTTGCCAAACATGTCTTTTTTTTCCAAACATAAGTCTGAAGCTATTAACACGGAGTTAGAAAGAGCCCTTTGACTGATGAAAAAGCACATTAAAGGTGCACTGGAAGAGGGCAGCCAACTTCAGCAGGGTTCACTTCTCAGCAGGCTGTCTTTCATATTGCTGTGGAAAGTGAGCAGGAGTAGTGTACAATAGTCTCTTAAATGTTTTAAAATCTGGCTCACTGCCTTCTGATTCTGTCTAGTTGAAGAAACCAGGGTGTGTTTGTGTGGGTATAGAGCACCAGAGTGTACTGTATGATGGATGCTTGATAGACTTTAATAAGCACATAAACATGTTTTTTACTGTTTTTGCGAGCTTGATTCCTTTCTCTTGCTTTTACCCTTGGCCTTGCCCTTTGGTTGGTCTCTGTGGAAAATACAATAAACAAAACAAGTTCAAAAGCTAAATTAACTGCAGTATCGTAACATGTCAACGATGTAATTAATAAAGCAAAGTGTATGAGTCAGTGTCTTCCTCTTGTTTGTCATTTGATCTTGGAGTAAGCATGTAATACTGACTTGTGGCCCTTTTCAGGGCCGGTGATGGCAGCCCGGTGAACAGCACGGGGTTGGGGGTCCTCCAGGCGAGACATGGGGCTGGGCTGATGAAAGGTGGACACCCTCTGCTGCCACTCACTGTCAAAAGACTGTGCTTCAGCTGGCGGGGGAGGGGGGAATAAGGATCATATTAGGCAACATTCTGTCTGTGGACTGATGGCCCACACATTATGCTAGAATACGGTACATCCTTCATGTAGTTACATTTTTGAGTAGAGCAACAAATAATGCAAGGCCCTCTAATATTTACGGAGCAACTGTGCATAGCTACTCGAGTGTGGATACCTGATTGGAGCCCGACAGGACCCATCGAGACCTGAGGGCCCAGGCTGGGTTGAGATGCAAATTTAGAAATTATGTTCGGACCCGGTTTGAGTTTGGTGGACATGTAGGCCAAACTTGGGGTTGACAGGTGGAAGACTCAAATATCTGCTTCGTTTAACAATAAAGGAGAAAAACACCGTACAAACTAAACTGTGTGCGGCAAGGGTTGGGCTCAGACAGAAATATGCAGCCCGATCCATGCTCTAGTAGCTACTGCAACAGCTTGATGCACTCAACCACTTGAACGTACATTCATCGATATTTTGAAAGTCCTGGATGAACTCCTTGTCTCCTGTTTTCTTGTTGTATTTCTTCTCAACAACATGTCCCCTGTCCTGGATGTGGTGGCCAATTGACATCTTCTCCAGCCCACTCTCAGAGTCTTTAACTGCTTGCCGGGTCTCCCTGATCTAATGATAAAACATCATTAACCTCATCAGTGGGTCCATGAAAAAAAGTATTAATTCAAGAGAACCAACATTTTTATTTCTTTTCCTCCTTATAAACAGCCCAGTACACCTTTCTAATCATGTACAGTTTGACCAAGCTAACAGTCAAATCAAACATAACTACTAATGCTAATAATGGCTGTATTAGTGCCAGTGCCACAGCCCTGGGACTGTATAGCACACCATAATGGAACAGGGCCATCACATGCCATAGTGAGAAAAGTTAGCTCATGATAATGCTCTCACAAGGAAAGGCCACGGAGATGTTATTACCATGAGCACTCATGGAAGAGAGTAAAATAAGTTTCTATAGATTTCCTTCTACAACATAGTAACACATCTGACAGGGTACTTACTCCTCCCGGGGCACGGCGTGTCGATGAGGTCGCCTGGAAGACCTTGGGAGGCTCATCTCCAGACTTTGAATATGTCATGACTGATGAGGAGCTGAATGAGTGGGTGTTTGAATCTGTGGACAGGTTCTCCTGAAACAAAACAAAACAAAGAACACAGTGTTGGGCAACTACGGCTTATGTACCACAACAATCTGAGAAAGCAGTAAAACTAAAGGAAGGCAACACAAAATCATGAGTAAACTTACAAAGTTCTGGTGCATCTCCGCCATCCTGTTTCTCATGCCGAACATCATGTCGTCAAACATGCCGAAAGGGTTCCTCATCATGTCCTG